TGAGCCGTCGAGGCAATCGCATCGGATGCTGGCCCAGAACCCAGCTCCACATCCTCCTCGAGCCAGTCTGAAGACAGCTCCAGCAGGGAAAAGAAGCGCAAGACCAAAGCCAAATGCCCACGGGCGTGCAAATCCTCGGCTACCAGGGACGCTGAAAGAGAGGGAACCTGCACATGAAGCTGCACCTAGCAGACATTGCAAGGAAGCACAGGAGCAAACAAGCATGCATTAAGGTGCTCCAACTCCCCTCCCAGATAAACCTGAAAGACTATAGTCAACTCCCGCCACTCAAGCGTGTGGGTCCAACAGAACGCATGCCACAACCCCAACGAAAAGGGCAGTCTGCCAGCCAAGAAGACTCCATCACCTTGTAACGCACCCAGTAAGGAAAAAAGGAGCCAAACTCAAAAGAAGGATCCATTATCAAGATGTAATCCGGGTCTCACAGGAGGTAAGCCGCAATGGCCTCCTGCACCTCCCTAGGCTAGATGCAGGAAGTTGAAAACCTCCAAAAAGAGGGAACCGAGGAACCTAAGGGAACCCAGAACCAAACCTGGGAAGGAGCCGAAACCCTATCAAACTTGTACAGGGAGAGGGGATAGGAAAACCCCTCCCTATCTCCAGGATGACAACAAGCCCCATGCCGAGCTCAACACCAAAGCGGGGTCTAACGGGGCCCAAGCCCCCCAAGTCGTCTTCTACCCAGCCCCGGGATCCTTCACATCAGGACCCAGGTCAGAGCTGTCCTCCAAACCCCCTTGCCTCTGGAGAAAAGGCAGAGTCCACCGAAAGAGCAGGGAAGAAACGGGTGTGCTGGCACAACATGGAAGCCCCGGCAGGAGGAACGTGCTCGAATGCCTCCGCTGCCGATCTGGAAGGGGCAGCCCTCGAAGCCACCCGAGTCATAACACCAAGAAAGCCCTGCCCCTACTCCGAAACCCCCAGACGTTTGGGAGCCGGGAGCACGGAAGGGAGAAGGGAAACAGGATGAACTACAGTAAGGGAAGGACTAGAGGGGTGCAGACAAAAAAAAAAGTCTAGGCGACTTATTGCCCCCAAGTCCTGGTTCCTACAACCAAAGCGGGGCAGCCTCGGGGCATCTGGAAAGGCAACCAACCTAGCCCATTGCAGCAACCTAAACCTCGCCATGCAATGCTGAATCTGCTTGCACCCGAATATCAATAGCAGTGAACTGGGTGAGCTGGAGTACAAGCAAGGAACACCACTCGCAGGACTCTAGGTCAGAGGTGTCATTGATCCAACAGGCAGCATGTCGGAGGCAAAAACGGTGAGTGTCACCCCTGAGACAAGGGGACAGAGCAACCGTCATAACTGGCACGAAGTGAGATGGGACTCGGAGGATGCATCCATTGGACCAATGAGCCCCAATGGGGGTTTTCAGAGCCCTTAGGCTGACTGCTAAGGGAAGCCCAAGCAAGGTATTGCTAACCGGTTATCCCAAAACTGCCAAACAAACAAACAAACAAAAAATGCTGAACCCCTGCAATCACAGGGACCTAGCGGAGGGCCGGCCAACCAAATAATACAAGAGGTCCTACAGCCACACCAGGCAGACCCCCTTCAGGCAACACAAAACAAAAAAGAAAAAAGACAGCCCACAAAAACAACACATATCCAGGAGGAATAGTTCCGGCCGCTATGCATATTTTAAGACAGCTGCACAGTACCTTGCACCCCTACCAATGACGATACTACCTCCTTTCCACGGCCAAACAGCGGTAGGAAAAACCTCGGCTGTGTAACGTACGATTATATTACGTTGTTGGATTGATTAGATACACAGTGTTTAGTGAGTTTCATATTTATTTAGTAGTCCTGGGTACAGCAGTGTCGTAGACGTTGAGACGAAGCCTGGAGTAGAGCAGAGAGCGAGGCCGGAATCGTGGAGCTCTATGTGGGAGAGCGTGGCGGCTCGATTGAGAATTGCGAGTGTCTGAACTCGGGGAGCGAGATCGTGGCGGCTCGATGTGGTCGTAGTCTGCTGTCTGCTCTGTGTCGAAGCTGTAGCGTCTTGGCTCGATTAAGACTGTACACGCCGAGTGCTACATTGTTGACTGTGGAAATTGAACTGTTTTCTATTCATCAAATCGTTGCTTATATGGTGATTACACCTCAGCTTCCTCCAACAAGGTGAGGAGAGTATTACCTGTAATTGGGGAAAGGATTGTAGCTTCTGTAATTAGTTATGCTATTAAGATAATGAATAATGGAGCGAGTATAAGATTAACTCACTACAGCTGACTTCAAGGGCAGGCAATTGCCAAGCAGCAAAAGAACTCTGCGGAGGTTGTCCTCGAATAACCTGTGGAAGGTAACCGCAAACTGTAAGGGTAGTACTTACAGGGCACCTAGGGAAGGTGACCCTTGGCACATGCAGCCCCAGTACTTCTGGAATTACTCTTGGTTCGCACACCACCACACAAGAGGTCTGATAGGGGGCCTGAAAGCTAAATGGACAGCATTCTGGACTTGTAATCCTAGGGTCTGGGATCGATCCCCGGTGATGGCAGACACAAAATGGGCAGTTTCTTTCACCCTGATGCCCCCCATTACCTAGCAGTAAATAGGTACATGGGAGCTGTTACAGGCTGCTTCCTGGGAGGGGTGTGTGTGTGGGGGGGGGGGAGAATTAGTAGTTAGTAACAGTTGATTGATTGACAGTTGAGAGGGGGGGGGGGCCGAAAGAGCAGACCACAACCCCCGCAAGTACAACTAGGTGAATACAGCAGCACAACACCACAACACCACATGACACAGCACTGCTCAAGGATTGGAGCCGTCAGTCTACTGCCACCCAACACAACAGCCTCAGAACTGGGGTTGGGTAGCCCCCCCCCCTTCCCCCTCCTGAGGAGGGGGTAGCTGTGCAGCCAGCAGTGCAGTAGCTGTAGTGACATTATGCTTGTTTGCTTGTTTTCTGATTGAGGAGTTCTGCTTGCTTGTTCGGCTTTCAATTTACAATTTTTAACCAGCTGTAGTTTGTTTTGGGATTCCTACTTTTCTGGGTACTTGACCTGGTAGATGGCAGATATAGACTGCTTCCAACCCCTTGCTAACTTTGATAGCAAGGGGCTCGTATAATAGTCAGTGTACAGAGTGTGCCCTTTGTTCAGCAGTGGTTCCATGAGCGTCTTCACCACACTGCCAGAAAACCCACGAGGATCCTGTGTGGGTACGTCTACATCTGTACCGGAATATAATGTCATATTGGTTTCTGGTTTCACAGTTGCACAGTACAAAGAATTTGAGGCCAAAAGGGTGCAGTTTCGATGGGATGTACTGTTTGAAGAGAAGACGTCCCTTGAAAAGAACTAGGGATTCCTCAGTGACAACATTGTCCTGGTACAAAATAATCACAAAATTTCCCTTTGATATCACTGAACACTTTTTGCACTCTCCAAAATCGATCATTTCTATCAACATTTGCAATGTTTTCAAAGTGTAGGCACCATAGTAGTATCAGGAACCTGTCTCGTAACATGTATTTGTTGAACACGGGTTGGAACAGCGCATTCTTTGTTCCAATAATCCTGCATGACGTGCCTCACTGAATGTTTCATGGGCATACATAAAAAGCAAAGAACACACAACTCGGCCACGGTCGTGTCCTTCCAACGTACCATACTTGAAGCAGGTAATAGACCTCCTGCAACAAGTTGCCCTGCATACTTGTTGGTTTTGGCAACAAGATGTTGCATGAACTGCTCATCAAAATATGCAATAAAATAATCACTTTCCGTCATGTGATTACGGAATTACCTGTGTATGGGAACGTGGGTGCAACCCCAACATCACTATCATCAAATTGAGGTTTGTGTGGTACAAAAATCACAGTTCTCCCACACAAATTCAGCCATGCTCCTTGTACTGGGAGCGACTCCAGTATATGTCCGTTTTCTTGCACTAAATCTCCTTTGGGCAAGAGATGGTTTTCTACCTTGTCTACTAGTAGGGCAAGCAGGGAAAGTGGATGTAGAGGCAACACTGTCGTCATTGTCATCATGAGGGAAAACATGGTGGTGCTTGGCAGGGCGTCCTGCTGAGATAGCACATCTGCATCTTGTAACACCGCGACAGTAGCCACTAGCACTTGGCTCATCTATGCTACTTGTATCAGAAGCACCATCACTGAACCCAGAAAATAATTCAACAGTATCACTTTCGTTAAAAAGGGCAGATGGAAGTGGAGGGTATAATACTGGCAAGGGCGATGCCCTATGATGCCCCACTACGCGTGCCGCTCGACCTGAACGAAAGGCGCTCGCTGTATCATTGTCATCTGTGCCTGTAACACTTCCATCGGACACTGTGTTAGGTCTCTATCGTCTCTTGGGCCATCAATATCACATTCCTGTTCTTCTTTAAACAATATTGTTTTTATCTTCCCTGTAGAATGAGGTCTTTCAACAGCATGTCCCACAGGACATTGGGAGCTGGAGGCGCTTCAGCCATGATTGCTAGATCAGAACTGAGGTTACCCTCGGCCCTAGGGAATTTTCGGTATTTTTTTTTTTTTTCAAAATGGCAGCTGCTCGCTAAAGGCCTTAGGCATACATCTTGTACCCAACCTACCATGCGCATGTATTTAATGGGTACGAAATATTAAAAAGCTGTTTTCTCGGCTCGTGCAGTTTCCAACGGACAGTTTTTTCTCGGTTGGCGCAGTCTAGTTGTCAAAGGTAATAGTTATGATGTCTATCAAACTGTCTTTTTATATACTCATGATGCTGTCTGTTGAACCGCCCTTCCATACTCTCATGACGCTGTCTATTAAACTGCCCTTCCATATACTCGTGATTCTGTCTATCAAACTACCCTTCTACCTGTTCATTTATGCCTCTGGTCATTCCTCTGTTGCTAAAGCAGTACAGTAGTTGATCAGATTAGCCTTTTCCCAAGTGGTGTCTTCCATAAAAATTCTGAACTTCATTAGGTATATTACAAATGTATTTTGTATAAACTTAATTTGATAATTTCAGGTGCTAGAGATAGAAGATGGAGAGATCAGCGAAGACTCGCAAGCCTCATTAGGAGACTTGGAGATTAAAAGACTCAAGATACTAAAGGAACTGGAAGATGCATCATCACAGGGGGCTAATGGAGGAGGAGGAATAAGCATGAAAAGTAAAGATAGTAAAGATGTCCACAACGTGAACATTGATCAGTCGAGTGAAAATTCAGAAGACGGCAGAATGTCTAATAATTCTGTCACCGAGTTAAGTCACTCTGAAAATTCCAGTAACGATGTAAGTGAAAGTGATTTAAAACGTCATCACCGATCACATTCAAAGGGTTACAAGTTAGGAGCCATTATTCCCGAGTCCTGCACACCTTATAATACCCTCCCAAGTGCAGAAAAGTGGACAGTTGATGTGTCAGATCATATTGTGTTTGAAAATTTGCCTGATACTCTTGGAACTTGGCAAAAGATGAAAGGAGTCATGAATCTTGTGAAGAAACGAATGGTTGAATTGCATGAAGATGAGGATGAATAATTATAATAATTTATAAGATGTAGTTTTAGTACATTATTATTGAAATAAATATCTAGCAAAAACATTGTATGTAGGAATACAAATATATTTTATAAAAGAACTTATGATGATAATCTTGGTAGACTGTTTCAGTACAATTTGAGATTGAGCTCTTAAATAATTAGTTTTTAAAGTCAACACAAAAGATATTCGAAGGCAAAGTTTTAAGATGAAGCAATATATGTTCAGTATTTACTTTTTCATTTGCAGTATAATACATGACCAAAACTGAGTCCCAGTACTGTTGTGGCCCCACGTCCCCCGGCCCAATATTACTGAGATTGTTTTTTTAATTACAGTATAGTGTACTTAGTGTAAAAAAAATAAATTGGAGGGCTATCACTTGTTTAGCCCCTGCACTGCACACCTGTTTTTCGCAAAAATTTCAAGGTGCCGTTGTTAAGGACATATTTTTGTTGTTTTTATAAATGTTTAACTAATGTTAATGTCAAAATGTTTCCAAACTCAATCATTTTCATTTCAAATCAAAAAGAGCAATGAAGACATTAAAAAACCTTAAAATATGGCATAATTAAAAAACAATCGCACAACCCTCAGAGCGCCTTAAGGTGCTTTCCGCAGTGCAGTGGTTACAGTACAGTATGTCGTAAAGCAGGAAATTTAACTCGAACAATGTGTTGTAGGTTATAATTTAGTTTGCATAAAGATAATTACAGTTTCTTAAAACATTTTACAAAAAAGATTTCTCTATGGCTATATAAATCAAGTAATAGAGTATACAATGTAGTGGCCAGAATAGAGCCAACTTTTGTTGAAATATGAATATTTTATTGGTCACCAGAGAACTCTTAAATACGGCCTCTTTTTTTTCTTTTTTTTTCTCAAATAGGTAATTTTTAATTTGCACATTAAATGATTCTACTTGGTTCAGTACTGATGCAACTGGAGTATTATTTTCCTTTTTTTTATATATAATTATAGTACAGTAACTGTGATTTACTTGGCTGGTTTCCCAGAGCTAAAATTCTGACACATTTAAACCTTCAGGTTGTGCCATTCCTCATAGTTGTATAGGCCTTCTGAAAATTAGCACCAGAATCTGGTTTGCTTAGTAAGGCAATGGTGAGGATCAAAGATCAAACCAAAAGTTCTGGAAAAGTAACCATAAATGTCCCCTTCCCTGACAGCTGGGTTATCTTGAGATGATTTCGGGGCTTTTTTTTTTAGTGTCCCCGCGGTCCGGTCATCGACCAGGCCTCCACCCCCAGGAAGCAGCCCGTGACAGCTGACTAACACCCAGGTACCTATTTTACTGCTAGGTAACAGGGGCATAGGGTGAAAGAAACTCTGCCCAATGTTTCTCGTCGGCGCCTGGGATCGAACCCAGGACCACAGGATCACAAGTCCAGCGTGCTGTCCGCTCGGCCGACCGGCTCCCTATCCAATGGGTGGACAGCACTTCGGATTCATAGTCCTGAGGTTCCAGGTTCGATCCGTGGTGGAGGCGGAGACAAATGGGTAAAAGTTTTTCACCCTAATGCTCCTGTTACTTTGCAGTAAATAGGTACCTGGGAGTTAGACAGCTGCTACGGGCTGCTTCCCAGGGCGTGTGTAACAAAAAGGAGACTGGGCCACGGGGATGCTAAGCCCCGAAATTGTCTCAAGATAACCTCCCTTTCCAGCCTGTTGCCATCATGAGGGGGCTTGGTGGGCAGCTGCCGGAGTGTGATGCTCTTTGGGACATCTTGTCCTCAGTTCTTTTGAAGCCTTATGCTCCTGCTGCTGTTCTCACAAATTTTGCTGGTTGCTTTTTCCTGTTCATGTTTCATTTTTCTTCCCCACCTCTTCTTTCTGGTTGTTCCCTTCCTGCCGATTTTTTGCCTTTTTAGAATATTCTTTCCGGTGTCTTCGTCTGTTTTGACGGCGGATGTTTGGGGAGGCACACACTCACCCATAGAACTGTGGTACCCAACGTTGTCGAGCGAGGGGACGCTTTTGTTGTCAAACTTAGCCTTCGTTGCCGAGCCTGATCTCGACGGACTGATGGTTCTTAAAGTGGCGATTGCAGGATGTATATCTACGATGTACCCCTGAGGGGCTTTTGTCTTGTAAGGTGCCCTATCCTTTAATTGTGGCTCCATGGTGGGTATGGGGGCTTACTTGTGAATTAAATTTTTGCCTGTTCATTTTTATGCTGCTCTCTGACCATCTTTTAACTTCTCAGACTCATGGGGTGAGCTACCAGGCCCCCCCAAGTTGGACTGTGATGGAAGGCCGGGCTCTGTAGCCCCCACTACATTGGGCCCTGACCAAGCTGCTTCTCTGACTTTCCTGACCGACTCTCTGCTCCCCTCCCACCTCTGTAGTGGGGTTGAGCCCCAAGCCCCCAGTGGTGACCACCTCATCACCTGGTGTGGCTCCATCTCTCGTAACAACTGTGCATTTTACCGCCTCTTACTGGAGGTGCTTGGCGCTGACACCTCCACACTCATACTGGCATTATTCCTTCCCCAATCTACTACATTCCAGGCTTTGTTTGGTCCTGCTACATGGACTAAGTATTTTGATCTCAGTCATGTTGATCCTAATCATCTTGATGATTTATTCCTCCATAAACACCTCATTGATTTGGTGGATACATTTGTCTAACCTCACCCGTACTAGTACATGTGTTGTTGCAGCCCCTTCTTAGGAAGCGGCTAAACGCTGGTTTCGTTGTCCTGCATTGGAGACCCCTCCCCTGTTCGGATCTTCATAACTGCCAGCATTGGCACAGTTCTCCCGCACCATGTTGGGACTGGTGATAGGGAACTGAAAGAGTGACTCTAGGATATGAAATATATCCTTGAGGCCCAAGACTGTACTATACTCCAGATAGATTCATTCACTCGACCCCCCTCGTTGTCGTCATCGTCAGCCTCTGTGTGTTAAGGTCACTTTTGATAGTAGGTCCCTTCCATCATTCTTGCTGGTACCAGATGCTCCGTTCAGGAAAACATTCCCTCTTGCCCCTGCAACAGGTGCTGAAGATTATGGCATGTTCCTTCAGGTGCACAAGTGAGTGTCTGTGCCCCTTGTGTGGAGCCTCTGTTGCTCCTCTTCCCAAGCTCGCTGCTTCAATTGTGGTGATGCCTACCCTACCTTGTAGGGTAGAGTGAGAGTGAGTGCTAAGAAGTAAGATCACAAAATACATTGAATCACAGCATCTCCATAACCCCGGACACCTGCTTGCTTGCTTGATACCTGCTTGATGGGGTTCTGGGAGTTCTTCTACTCCCCAAGTCCGGCCCGAGGCCAGGCTTGACTTGAGAGTTTGGTCCACCAGGCTGTTGCTTAGAGCGGCCCGCAGGCCCACATACCCACCACAGCCCGGCTGATCCGGAACTTCTCTTAGAAAACAGTCCAGTTTTCTCTTGAAGATGTCCACGGTTGTTCCGGCAACATTTCTTATAGTCGCTGGGAGGACGTTGAACAACCGCGGACCTCTGATGTTTATACAGTGTTCTCTGATAGTGCCTATGGCACCTCTGCTCTTCACTGGTTCAATCTTGCATTTTCTTCCATATCATTCACTCCAGTACGTTGTTATTTTACTGTGTAGATTAGGGACCTGTCCCTCCAGTATTTTCCACGTGTACATTATTTGGTATCTCTCTCGTCTCCTTTCTAGAGAGTACATTTGGAGAGCTTTGAGACGATCCCAATAATTTAGGTGTTTTATCTCGTGTATGCGTGCCGTATATGTTCTCTGTATTCCCTCTATTTCAGCAATCTCTCCTGCTCTGAAGGGGGTTACCTTGAGGTTACCTTGAGGTGCTTCCGGGGCTTAGCGTCCCCGCGGCCCGGTCGTCGACAAGGCCTCCTGGTTGCTGGACTGATCAACCAGGCTGTTGGACGCGGCTGCTCGCAGCCTGACGTATGATTCACAGCCTGGTTGATCAGGTATCCTTTGGAGGTGCTTATCCAGTTCTCTCTTGAACACTGTGAGGGGTTTGCCAGTTATGCCCCTTATGTGTAGCGGAAGCGTGTTGAACAGTCTCGGGCCTCTGATGTTGATAGAGTTCTCTCTCAGAGTACCTGTTGCACCTCTGTTTTTCAACGGGGGTATTCTGCACATCCTGCCATGTCTTCTGGTTTCATGTGATGTTATTTCTGTGTGCAGCTTTGGGACCAGCCCCTCTAATATTTTCCATGTGTAAATTATTATGTATCTCTCCCGCCTGCGCTCAAGGGAGTACAGATTTAGGCTCTTTAGTCGGTCCCAATAGTTTAGATGTTTTACTGCTAGAAGGGGCTGTCTCTGCACGCTCTCCAGGTCAGCAATTTCTTCAGCTTTGAAAGGTGCTGTCATTGTGCAGCAGTACTCCACTCTAGAGAGCACAAGCGTTTTGAAAAGTATCATCATCGGAACAGCATCTCTAGTGTGAAAAGTTCTTGTTATCCAACCTGTCATTTTTCTTGCAGTTGTGACGGCTACTTTATTGTGTTCTTTAAAGGTAAGGTCTTCCGACATGAGTACACCCAGATCCTTTACATTGCCTTTTCGTTCTATGTTATGATTTGCCCGAGTTTTGTACGTGGTTTCCGTTTTTATATTTTCATTTTTTCCATAGCGCATGAGTTGGAACTTATCTTCGTTAGAGAAGGAGAGAGGACAAATGGATCGAGAAGGCGAGAAAGAAGGCTTCAATATATTCCTCACCTTCAGACCCCGACACTAACCTGCTTCCCCTCCCGTTTCAGTGGCGGAGTTGCCTGTCCCTACTGTTGGGGGGAAAGGGGGGGGGTCCCTTGGTCCTTGATTCTTTCTTGGATGCTGCCCTTGATCCAGTGCACTCTTGTGCACTGGATCCCTCCTACCCCCGATTCCTCTGACCACCCGTCTCCAATGCCTTGTCCCACTCCGGACTCTGAAAGTCTGCCTCTGGTCTGTCCTGCTCCCTTGACTCCAGGAGGATAGCTCTTTGCTAACTTTGCCTAGGCCTCATAACCTCGATTTCACTAATTATGAGCTTCTTTAATTTACTATGTTTTCCTTTACCTTTGTTTCTTCCTTGTTATCTGTTTCTGTTCTCCCTATTGTATGTCTATTCTTCAATGGAATATTCAGTTTTTATGCCAACGTCCATGAATTCCAACTTCTAATAATGGCATTTTCACCGCTTTGTGTTTGTCTCCAGGAGCCAATGCCTGGCGCTCATCCTGGTTACTTCATGGTTATCCCTTTATGTATATCTCCCTCCAGCTTTTGCTGGGGCCTATAACTCTACTGCTCTCTTGATCTGTCTTGATATTCCCTTCATCCCCCTACTTTTTCAGTTGAACATTCAGAATTCTACGGCTCGTATCTTTGCGAGTCGTAGAGTTAATAGTATACAGTCTGCTTCATATCCCCACAAATGTCATGCTTTCTCTTTTTGATTGAGGTGGAGTTTGAGTAACATGAGCCTGTGCGCCTTTTGGGTAATTTTAACTGTTGGCATACCCTCTAGGGCAATGTTCTGACGAGCACCCGGGGCCGCCTTCTCGATCCATTTGTCCTCTCTCCTTCTCTGACTTCTGAATTCTGGTGAACCCACTCATGTTGACTCACGCACTCAGACCCTTTTCTGTCTTCTCTCTGCTCGTTTTCTCTTTATTTAAACTTCACATGGCGGGGTTCTTGATGACCTCCATAAGTGTGATCATTTCCCAATCCTTGTCACCTCTTTTTCACCCTCCCCCTCTCCTTGCCTACGTGGCAGTTTGCCAAGGCTGACTGGAACCTCTTCACTTTGTGCTACTCTTTCCGATCTCTCTGATCGGCCTCTTCCTTAAGCGGTGTCCTTTTTCATGACACCGTTTTTTTATGCTGCCCTCCGCTCTGTCTTTCTCTCTACCTCCCGGGTCACGCAGAAGTGCGTTCACTGGTGTAATGCAGACTATGCTTGGACAGTCCGCTG